CTTTGATCTTGGGCATAACACTAGAAGTTAGGTAATATTTAGAGGAGAGACAAACTTCTGCAGAAAGCAAGTCATACATCTGTCAGAATGAGAGTTCCTGGGAATATTTTAAAAAACCATCATGCAACATGTGGAATTAAAAAAAATGCCAAATAACTTGTGGAAGCCGTTCCAGTATCAGTTTTTATTTCCTACCATACACCAAATGTACAGCACAGAACACAGTTTTGTTGCTTTGATGTAAGAAATATTAACTGTATGAAGAAACAGTATACAAACTACCCCAAAATTAAAAAAAAATGCATACATCATTGTCCTTTACAAAAGGTCTAATTTACAGGATAGTTCATCAAAGCAAATTAATGCAGAGAAAAGAAGGGAAAAAAGAAAGAATGGGAAGACAGAGAAAGGGAAGAATCACAGCTCACATTACAAAACATCAAATACAAGGAAGGCAAATAAATATGAAGATACATTTTGAGCAAAAATCCAAACACAGATAAATTAACTGAAAGCCATAGTAAATAATAATAAATAGATTAAAAAGAGATTGCTTAATTTAATTTAAATAAAATATAGGATTACTTTCTTAAAATATTTAGTACATTACTTCTTACTTTTTGTCATGGGTGAATGCCTTTGTATGCCTTAAACTGGCGTCAGCAAATGTCTTATAACAAATGAACCAACAAGTACAATAATTTAATAGTAATTTGGTGTTCTAATTTATATTAGCACATACTGTAGCTTTGTCAAATTGTTTTCTTTAAAAAATAAGCACAGCTTCTAAGAACATACACCTCTCCTGTCTAAACTAAGGTCTGAGGGCCACGCCAGTCCCTCCACACACAAACAGCAAGCCCACCTAATGCCAAAGAGCAATCACAGCATATGAAAATTGGAGAATGACTGAAGAGGCAATCTGTGGATAGGAACACTATAGGTATGAATGAAGACTGTGAGTAGGGTCATACCCAGTTGAAATATAATGTTGGCAAATAAAACTAATCACGGTCATTCTAGCACCGAAAAAGTAAAGCCTATGCTGTAAGCCATTATACACTTTCCACTGAGGCACATAGACACATGAGATCTGTACGGATGGGTAAAGGCAGTTCAGCTGGTGGTTTGTAGTTTCTTTTTTTGGAAAAAAAAATAATGTTTACATTGGGGGGAGGGGAATGATTTATTATTTTTACACTCCCTAAAATAGATGTTGGATCTTTGTTCAGAGCAGTTACAAAACAGGAACTGAAAACAGATTATGAAAGAGTTCACTTTGAACAAATGTGAATGTGTTTCTGAATGAGGGCTGACAGACTGCAACATTTGAAGACCTCCCTTTCCATAATCAGTGGAAACTAAGACTTGCCGCCACCTGACTCAAAGTTATACAAGACTCCAATATGTATACTAATCACCTCTGGATGGTCTCTGTTTTCTTCAGTGTAAAAATCAGTTGTATCAGTTTTATCAACTAAGCCACTCCTAAGATTTACTACTAGTCAATGTTGACAGTATTTAGCTGAATGATAAATAGTGTTTAATGTCCTTGCTTTGTGATATGTATAAAATTATCAACTTGGGAAGCACTTTTCCAATATGAAATTATATTGATAGTGGTAAACAGAACAATGTTTTTTTTCAGCTTCTATACTTCAAACCTATCTTATTTGAACGATTAAACAGTTTGATCTTCTTTCATGAATGAGCATGAAATTGGGCCAATGAGAAGGTATCCTTCAATCAATCCAGACTTCCCCTGAATGGTTTCAAACAATTGTTTCATGTAGGCTAAGGCTGTAGCTGGATCCAGTGGTTTACTGATTGCTATATTTCATTATTGCTACAAAAATTCTTGAACTCTTACTGCATGCTGTGCTCAAGGCAATTAGCCACTAGAGGGCACAATTCACCTTGGTATCACTGGGTCTTTGCCTCTCATGCTATTTGCAAACCCATTTCTTATTTCATTAAAAAAAACTGTTATAAAAAGCAGGATGTGGTGAAAATAAACTAGAATCACAGTTCTGTTACTTTGTTTCTTTCATAGTATTTTTTTCTTCCTGTACAAACCCAGCACATTATTTAATTTACATTATAACTTTCAGTCTATTTAAAATCCCATTGGAAAATAAATTAACAAACACATTTGTAAAAATATGGCAGGCTGCAAGAAATGCTGTTAAACAATCTTTTCTTTAAAAAAAATCCATACAACTCTTTGATTGAAAATAAATTAAAAATGTAAAAAAATAGTTACACACACTTTGTACATTCACTTTACAAAAATGAAACAAGTGCAAAACAACAATGGCAACAAAAAGGATTTGTACAGAAATAAATACGTTTGATGATCTAACTCATTGCTGTTAATACAATAGTCTGTTATGTTTAATGTCCTTTTTATGTCAGCTGGAAAAAAATAGTGCAATGTTGTAATTAAAAATGCAGCACAGCAACCAATATTTCTAAGCAGTCCAGGTGCTTTTCATGGATTCATCTGGAATTTGCAGCTGCTGAGACCTTCTTGTGCCCAGCAATTCTTCCATCCTACACATGAATACCCTTCACTGCTTGCTTGATACTTTCCAGTAGAGCCTTGCAGTCCGGGGAATAGTCCCTTTCCAGACTGCTGTACATTTCAGTGAGTGTATTCACGTATGCTTCAAAATTATGCTCACTGATCGGGCCCTGAATAAATGACACAAAACAAAGAAATCAAAGATAAGTGGGACATTAGCAAGAGAGAGAAGATTTCTTATCTGTGGACTGCAGACCTGAATCTGGCTGAGATGCTTGGGAACTGAGTTTTTAAAATCTAAGTCAGAACCTTTTTTTTCTGGTAAAAGCATGTCAAAATTAGTTGGAATCATATTAAATGGGCACCCCTTTTCTCTCTGCCTATCTCTGTTTTACTGTAAGTGCCTTCATTTGTAATGCTAATATACTTGCCATATTACTAACAAGTAAAAGACTTGTCTATACCATCTCCCTTGGATGGCCCAGCAAGTTGCTGCAGGCAGATATTTATAATTCTTCGTCAACCGTGGCTGGTACTCCAACATCACAAGGAGATCTGTCCAGATATCACTTTTTGGGGAAAGGGTTTTTTTTAAAAACAAAAACAAAAACAAAAAACCACAGGCATATGGAGGCTTGATTGAGTTGCGATATGATTCAAGGTAGAGGCAAGTGATTTTTTTGCCCAGGAGCTCTGTTTGTGTGTGAGTGTGTGTGTTTAAGTCTTTGAATATACATGAGTGATGTGATGATAACTACAGTGGTTCTTTTGTATCATATAATATCATACAGTATTTATCTACTTCCTTGTTTCAACATGTGGCCCTTGACAAAGATATTGTGACCATAGAACAATGGGGAGCCCAATCACTTTTCCTTCTTGCCAACTGATCATTGTCATCTGGTTTGTAGCAGAAGTGGGATTTTATTTCTCTGCTGCCATTAATGGAAGGGGACCAAGTAACTTGGTCTACATTGTTCCCCTGCTCATGGGGCTGGCAGGGACCAGATGCTGGTTTCCCATTGGTAATATTGGCAAGTAAAAGCAGTATACAGTATGCCCTTGGCAAAGTCACTATGTGTGTATAAGTTCAACCCTTGGATTAGACATTTGAAGAGAAAATAATCCATCCATCTTCATGTTAGCTGTGTAAGTTAGTACGAGGGCAATTTGGAAATAAACCTCCATTTGGTTATCAATGACAGACACTTGCAAATACAGAACTTTTATTATACACATTAGAAAACTACAACATTACATTACATTTTTGACATAATCGCTATTCAAATTGAGGTACTTGTCATATCGTCTTACAAGTTTTGAAATTCCTTAGTAGTCACTCGGCACCAAATCTGGGCTATATGGGGGGGGGGTGTGATCAAAAACATCCCAATGGAACTGCTTCAAAAGTTCTTGCGTGTGTCTAGCGATATGCAGGCAAGCATTATCATGGACCAACATCACACTTGAAGAGGTACCATAGAAAATCCTGCCAAATATGAAGATGCCAAAGGAGTACTGCTTGTGAAGTTCATGGAGCATGGTTTGACCATCAGTTCAGAAGTCTACTGTGAAATGTTATGAAAACTCAGATGATTCATCCATAACAAGCGTCAGGGCATGCTGACTTCCAGTGTGATGTTGGTTCATGATAATGCTCACTCACACACTGTGAGACACACCCAGGAACTTTTGAAGCAGTTCCTTGGGTTGTGTTTGATCACACACACCCCATAGCCTAGATTTGGCACCAAGCAACTACGATTAAGGAATTTCAAACCTTGTAAGACGTTATGACAAGTGCCTCAATTTGAATAGCGATTATGTTGAAAAGTAATGTAATGTTGTAGTTTTCTAACGTGTATAATAAAAGTTCTGCATCTGCAAGTGTCTGTCATTTATAACCAAACAGAGGTTTATTTCCAAATTGCCCTCGTATATCTCTTATCTCTCTACAAGATGAGTTGTCCCACTCCAAAAATATTATTCTTTTCTATTTAAAGTACTGTCATTATTCTATGCAGAATTGCTCATACCGATTTTCCATAATTTCACAGTGGCATTAATGGATTGTGCATCATAATTTTCCATTTGACAGCCCTGCAAGATGCTACTGTATACTTCTTTATTCTTTGACTCTTAGAGAATGTGCAGAATTCTGAGTCACAAACATACTGTACCATTTGTGGAAGTTGAATGTCAGCAAGACTGGAGATGAGAGCTTGGCTTAAACCAGCTAGTTCCTTTAATAGGCTCTCATTATTCTGCTCTATCAGTTTATTCTCTTCTTCTATGGTTTTCAGATTGCTCTCCATTGATGTGATCTGAATCCATAAATAAAAATGAGAGATGGCAAAATGAATAGTTAGGGTCTTGATATAAAGCTTCAACTATGTATTAGAACTTGCTCAGAAAGAGCCAGCAGAGGAAATGCAACCCTGAGGCTCACAAAACCGTGTTAACAATATTCATCAGAAAAAAATGCTAATTTTAGCAACACATTATTGTTTTTGAAAAAGTGTAGAAATGAAATTTGTTAGCCTCTTGCTTCCATTTCCACCCAACCTACTCCCCTTCCCAACACTTCCACCCAGCTCCAACTTGTGGGAAATTGTCTTCTCCACTCTAGACAGCAGTAGGATGAAAAGAACAAGCATTTGTTTCTTTGATTGTTTGGCAGGAGTTCACAAGTGGATGAAAGGCCACAATTTGGCAAAATAGAAGAAGGCTTGGTGGTTGGTTAAAAACGCCCGGTTAAAAAAAGAATTTAGCTACAGTATTAGGCATACAGAAAAAGAAGCAAGCAAACTACTGTTTACACTGCTGATTTTTTTTTCTTCCTTGCAGCATCCCTACTGACTCACTGCAATAATAACAGCCCTGGTATTCGCACTAGAGCTAGATAAGGCAATACTGTAGGATGACTGAGATTGTAACACTTCTGAATGTAAAAGGCTAAAAATAAAAGAAACAGAATAGAAAAAAGTGGGACCTCTTTGACAAGAAAGGCTAACACAAAATATCATCTTGAATGAATGACCCATCAGAGTAAATCGTCCTAGACTAAGGGGTATATATATATTTTTGCAGCTATCAAGGACACACACACACATACATACACATATACACATACATACATATACATATTTTTCAAAATTTGGATTGCTGACAAAGAATTAAGGGAGAACTGGAATAGCCATTTCGAACTTTTTAGTTCTTTTCAACCAGACATACCCTTCTGAGATTCGAACCTGGGCTGTCTGCATATTTGGGCCGACAGGGTGCACCAAACTCAAACATATACATATACATATACATATACATATACATATACATATACATATACATATACATATACATATACATATACATATACATATACATATACATATACATATACATATACATATACATATATATATATATATATATATATATAATATATATATATATATATATATATATATTCCAGATGCTATGAGTCAAGTGAGAGCTAAGCAAAGACTTTGACAGATCAGTCCATTTTGTTCAGGCTCCACTGGTCATCACAATAAGCTGCAAACTTTCCATGAGTTTCTCCTCACTTTGCAATTCTCACCACTGTTTTTGTGCTGCTGCAATGCCAGATTTAGGAGTGCAATTATAGTACAGCACATTATGCACTACAAGCCTATCTATATTTGGGTAATATGCAGTATATAGTTATCATTCCAAAGTTAGAGATTTAGTCACTTCTTGTGAAGGTGATAACTATTTGTTACAATGGACACATCTAACAACTCCTCTGTGCTCAGGAAGAAAAGAAGGCGTTCCATAAGAGAACAGCCCCTGCACGTTACCTACAATTTCCTTCTCACCGTATTTCACTGCTGAGGGGGGCTCAGCAAGCAGATTCCACTTAGAATTAGTGGTCTGCAGATAATCAGGCACAAGCCAGATAGGATTTTAAAGGTTATAAACAACATTTGTCTCTAAGCCAGAAATAAACCTATGCAGGTCCTATGGTATTAATCCTAATGATAGCATGCTGCGTTGTGCATTAATTGCAATTTCTTGATGGTTGTGAACTGCTCATTGCATATCTATAGACTATTTAAATTCTCATGCCTGTAACCTTTAATTGGGGAAAATGGTTTACCATAGAGCAGAACTTTTCACCTCAAATAGGCTAGACTTTATGGAATGTGTCAAAAATCCTGTGGAACTGAAATCTGGCAAATTTTATAAAACATTTTATGATATACAAGTTATCGTAAAGCATTTTATGACATCAAACAAAAATGACACAAATTTCTTGTAGGCAACTTCTGATGTTTGATTGTGCTGTGCAGTTCAACATGGGCTACTTTCAAGGCATCTCTGGACATCTCTCTGAATTTTTAAGAACTTTTCCAGTATATTAGAAGTTCTGTCAGTGTTGAAGATATTGAGGAATCTGATAAGAAATCAGGTATCTCTGAAAGAATGATCCAACAGGCCACAGATTGTCTAATTGCATCCTAACATGATGATAGGATATTAGCCACAGTCTTCTGCTCTAAGATTGACCACAATTGACATCCTAGTTGTAGCTGAGCAAAGGGCTTATTGATCATAGCTTCTAATTTCTGTTCTACTAGGAGATGAGAGTACAGGACTCTGAAATTGCTCACTAGCTTTTTCTAGGGGAACACAACTCCTTTCATAGCCTAAAGCTGGTTTTATTCTGTAATCAGTCACCTTTGGAACCCAGTGCTACAGTCTGCAGACTGTGGATTAAAATTCCACCACGCATTAATGACACCAACCCCAAGCTGGTAGATAATCTCTTCCAGAGGCTTCATGTAAATATTAAATAACATAAGAGAGAAAATTGATCTCTGAGGCATCCTGTAGCAGAGTGTTGAAGGGCTCAAACTGTCTTTTGCCCAACCTGCCTCAAACCATCCACTTAGGAAACAAACAAACCAGCACAAAATGAACCCCTGACTTCTAAGCCTCACAGATGATTCAGAAGGATACTGTGACTAATGGTATTCAAGACTGCTGAAAGATGCAGAAGGACTAAGAGGATCATGTTCTCACTGTCTAAACCTCAACCATCATCAATAATAATAATAATAATAATAATAATAATAATAATAATAATAATAATAATAATAATAATAATAATAATAATAATAATAATAATAATAATAATTTCTATTCCCACACCTGGATTGTGACTGAAAAGATTGCAGATAGTCTTTCCTACAATCTATACTTCAGAAGACAACTGGAATCCTAACAAAACCACCCTGCAGACTCTGCAAATGCCATTTGGCAGCCAATAGGATCTATTCTATGTCTGGGATGGGCTGATTTAATTGGATTTATCTCCTTGCAGAGGTCAGTAAAGCCAGTCAATTCTATGGTCACTAAAAAGTGATCTGTCAATGACAATAGAGTAGCTTTTATACCTACCACCACCAGAGCATGCACAATTGCTCCAGAGTATAAACCAGGTCTCATATGTGATTTCCTAAGCATTGAACTAGGATAGCTTGGGACAAACCCCCAGTTATCATGATGACTATGAAATCCCAAGCTGCCTCAGAACATCTCCCCCTCAGGGATGGCTGTTTGAGATCATCTATACCATACAGCAAATCTAAGTGTCTGACTCATCATCCATAGTGAGGCGTTGGATGTGTACAATGACATATTAGCTCTTTTAATTTGTTTTCCAATCCTTTCCTTCTCTTTACATGCTCTTTCACAACACATCACTTTAAAATATTTCACTTTTCTTCTTCCTTTCTTTCTAATAGATCTGGCAAACAAACATTCCTAGACTCAGCCTCAAGCAATATGAACCCCTTGCCGTGTCAGGATAGTCAGCATTTTAAAACTCAGCTGGTAGTGCTCAGTAGCAGCCAAGGCCTTGGTGTGGTCCAACCAGGAAGAAGCAGAGCATGTGCCAACTGGCAGATAGCACACAGGGAAGTGTTCATGTGTTGTTCATGCTGTTACCATCTGTCACTATGCCCCTTTTCCTATTCTTCTGAGAACAAGCTGCACATAGAGAATGTGTGTACTGACCTGGTCACCAGTATTCTTCCTTAGCAGTGGCCTTCATTTTTTTTCCTAAACCAAGCTAACTTTCTAAGGAGCAGGAGACCAGATCCTTCAAGTGCTAAAATGGGTGGCCTGGGGAAAAATATGTATTATTGCTATATCTCAATGAAGTAGTTACATTCTTACCTGTGTCTGGAGTTTCATCATGTCAGCTTCAATTTTAAGGTTGGATTCATTTAGTTCTTTAATTTCTTCATCCAAATGTCTGATTTCCTCTTCATTCTCTAAACCTGCACAAGATTTACTAGTTCAAGTCAAGTACAAAATGCCTTCCTGAAAATATTCACATCTGTCTTTAGAAACACTGTGAAACTGAGGCTTAAATTGGTTAGGTAGCCACCCATTTAATTGGAAACAAAAGTGCATATTAGCAATTTCATTCTACACTTATTGGAATTAATATAAAACTCTCCATTGTGACATATCAAGGACCAGGAAATCATGAAGGGCTTCAAAAGGTTCATGCATGTCCACTACATTTCTCAATATTTTCCTCATCTTCCTGCTGTGCTACTGATTTAAATGCCTGTTGGTGAGGAAGTTTAATATATAAAGGGAACATAGTTTTGGTATGTAATCTATGCATCAATTTCAGCTATATTTATATATCAATTTCAGCTGTATGACACAGGTCCGAAAGTTAAGTTTTGTTAAGTTAAATGTTGTATTACATAGGGATAGGAACTGCTGATTTTTCCTTTGCATATCAGTAAAGTGACAAAGTGGTAAATATAAATTTATAATTAATGCAAGTACATCTATGCCTAGTGTCCAATCATAAACTTCAATAATTTTTAAAAGGGAATCTTTGGTTGCTAATCAAAATGACTATATGTTACCCATAGTCAATATCTATTAAGGGACGACAGAGAGCACAGTATCACTTAGATATTATGGGAAAACAATACACAGTCAAACCTTTTGTAATAATACTGCTTTAATGTGGCACAACTGTTCTTATAATTCTCAGTAAATCAGTGGGTTAATACTAGATTTATGCAATCTAGTCTCCTTACCTCCATTTGCTTTCAACTTAACAGTCATTAGTTCTTCAGATATTTTCCCTTTTTTTAAGGCTTGTGCATTCAGGGGACATCCAGACAAACTAAAAAGAGTAGGAAAGGGGACCTATATGAAAGTCGAAACATATTTTGATTGCAACAACTCAGCCTCCAATATCTTGTCAATATAAATCCATTTCAACTATGCTGTCCATTATGTTTCACACTTATAATAGCAATAGCATTAGTACTTAGACTTATATACCGCTTCACAGGGCTTTACAGCCCTTTCTAAGCAGTTTACAGTCAGCATATTGCCCACAACAATCTGGGTCCTCCTTGGAAGGATGGAAGGCAGAGTCAACCTTGAGCAGATGACACTTGAACTGCCAAACAGCAGGCAGCCAGCAGTCAGTAGAAGAAGCCTGCAGTACTGCATTCTAACCACTGCTCCACCAGGCTCTTAACATAAAAATGTTAGCATGTTTTCCTGAAAATAAGACCCATCCTGAAAATACGTCCTAGCTTGAAATTTACGCATGTGCCTAATATAAGCCCTATCCCCAAAATAAGCCCTAGTTTTGGGGTGAGGCACATGTGTAAAAATCAAGCTAGGGCGGGGGTGGGGGTTGGAGCTGCCCCACATGCCCCACATGTGCTTATCTTAGGACTACTGCAGCCAGGCCTTCCACACCCCGACACCTGTTGCGCTGCTGCCCACGTTCTTCTATGGCTGCTTGCGGCTGCATGCGATGTGATGCATCGCGCTGCTGCTGCCACTCAAAGCAGGGGGCTGTGTGGCTTGTCATGCTGATCGTGCCACTGCCGCCACTTGCGGCAGGATGCTGCATGGCTCATCGTGCTGATTGTGCCGCTGCCGCCGCTCACAGCAAGATAGTGCCATGAGTGGTGGCAGCAGCATGAGCAGCACGAACGGTGCGATGAGCCATGCGGCCTCCTGCTGTGAGAGGCGACAGTGGTGTGATCAGTGTGACAAGTTACGCAACCTTCTGCCATGAGTGGCAGCGGTGGCGTGATGCATCACGTGGCATGCAGCTGCAAGTGGCTGCAGAAGAACTTGGGCAGCAGCGCTACAGGTGTCGGGGCGTGGGAAGCCTGGCTGCAGTGATCCTAAGGTAAGCGGGTAAGACATACCTTGAAAATAAAACCTGGTGCCTCTTTTGGAGGCCATATATATATATATATATAAGATTGGATCTTATTTTCGAGGAAACACGGCTATATAATATTTGTTTTGTATGATTTCCAGGGACATGCCTACAACAGTTTTCTCTTTCAGTGCATTGTTCAGTTCTATTATGGCTGCACCTTGATAGCTCTTGCTTCAAAGCACCAAATCTGATACTTTTGCACTACTGTTTTACTAACAGCCAAACTAGGTACATTCATGCTATGAAATTTATGACCTTGAAGTCACATTAGCAGCTCAACAGAACAAATTATGAACAGCTTATGATGCCCATTCTTCAAAGGTCTATAAAATATTAGCTCAGTGGTTTGATCCTAGGAATAACTTATTCTTATATAGTATGCATAAGTGTTCATTAAAGGTTTTGGCCCCAATCATCCCTGAAAGATGAGCTATTTAAAATGCATGCAAAATCCTAACAAGACTTTTCCTGTCAGTTGAATAGGATTGTCAAATTAACAAAACTCCATTGATTTATAGATACTTGCTGAGAGAAGGGGGGAAAGGGAATAAAAACAAAGGGATACCTTCTGTGGGTGACAAAAACATTATTAACGTGACCCAGCCCATTGCAGCCTGGCAAAGGGCAGTGTGGCAGCTCTTGCTTGTTCAACTTCCAGTGTAGAGAAGATCCATTGAGAGGACTTTCCTTCTGTCTCTTGGCAGCCATGGGACAACCTGAAGCTGTGCGATGGGAAGTGTATTTACCTGATACATGACCTTGGCCATCACAGCCTAGCACTGGACATCTGTAGGAGCACAGCAAAACTGATATTTGTCTAAAGATCTCTCTTACAACAGTAAGAGCTCAGGAAAATAAATTCAAATTAGCAAAATAATATGCATGTCCAGGATTTTTAATGGAAAGCTCTTAGCATATTTGATCTCACAAATGACATAAGCCACGAGAGCTATAATGTGCTCTGGGATGAGTGTCCTGTGTTAACCCACATTATATCTTGGCATTTTATGTGAACTTAACTTTTGTGTTAACCCACTCATTGCATTTAGCGGACAAGCCAAGGTTAATCTAAGAGAGCCACTTTAAAAGATTTAAAATATCCAATGATATTTAATCATAAAGACTTGACAGTTGTTAACATTTATCAGCGTATGTATCTGCATGGATAATTGCCAATCATAAACTCAGGGTAGGAAAAAGATTGCTGAGAATATATTCAGGGAAAGGCTTAGAAACTTTCCTGCATTACATCTTTTTTGCAATATCAGGGATAGTGGTATTCACTGAAACCATAAAGCTAGCTTTCGTAACTTTATTTTAATTTGTTATTATATATGCACATGTTAGTGAGATCAACCGGGGTGTGATTTGTGATTTATCACAAACCTTTGGAAGCCTACTTACTTAAGTTCAGGATCTTCTTTTTCTTCCTTTGTAGGAGTCACTTTCAGACCACTTTTCCTGGCCCGAGGACAGCCAGATAAGCTAAAGAAAAGTATGCAAAGCAGTTTATTTCTCTTCCCAACTTCCTAATTTTTACTTTTGAACAGGTAAGGGGTCCGTACCTTCTGTGAGAGGCATAATTTCCCGTCACATGACCAGAACCATCACATCCAGGAGTGGGGCACCTATGAAACAAAATATAGAGAAAAAGAAGAACTATTCAAATGAATCCTACCTTATTAAATTGAGAACTTTAGTGAAAGTTTCAATAGGACTTTCTTGCTTTGCAATTTTGCTACTTTGTGGTGAAAATACAGAAAATGCTTTAATGTCTTTAACTTAAAGTTTGTATTATTTTTACTCTGTGAAAAAACTTATATATATATTTTTTAAAATTCCTTCTCATCCCTATGAGTGGTACGTATCTTTCTCAATCTTGGGTACTCTACCAGAAGCCTGGGAGTTTGAAGGTTCTGCATATTTTCTTAGCTGTTCCTAGCACTGCATGCATCTGGACAGATAGGTTTGATCTTCTTCCTAAAATATGTTGGAACTATTGTCCCAGCTTGGCAGCCCTGAAATGCTCCTATCACCACTGGGACCATCCAGCCTTTATTTTCGACATCCTATCCAGTTTCTACCTGTGGTCCTGATACTTCCCAGCTTCTCATATTCCTTTTTCCTGATGTTGCTGTCACTTGGCACCACTACATCTATCACCAGCTCTGTCTTCTGCTCCTTGTTGATCATCATGATGTCTGCTTGATTGGCCAATACCAGCATGTCCATCTGGGTCTGAAAATCCCACTGGATCTTAGTCCTGTTATTCTCTATGACTTTCTGTTGAATATCCCATCTGAACTGGGAACAGCCCAGCCCATGCACAGAAAAATATTCCTGTACACAGTGCCAGCTACTTGGTTCCTACCTACATCTTATACCCTGCCACTACATGTTTGACTGTATCTGAGGCCTCTCTTCACACCCTGCACCTTGGATCATGTATAGTATGGTAGACCCTTTCTTCTATGGATTTGGTGCTTGATGCTAGTTCTTATCTGCTATGCAGTGCCTCAATGCTGTCTTTTAATTGAACTGCAACTTTTCTTATGAATTGTTTTATTAGCAATTTATAAGGAGGCTTCAATGGTTGCATATTGCCCACAAGTAACTTACTTCTGATATATACCTTAGATGGCCAATCAGTTATTTTGACTAAAAAAATCCAAAGGTAGAATATGTATGCATCTGTATCTACAGTATATGCATTTATTTTTTTAAAAAGTATATATTTTATACTTTCAACTTCACTTCCAGTAGTTATAATCATATATAAGTATTGATAAAACATAAAGCACATCAGCCTACCATCCAAAAATTGTGGTATACAAACCCTGGCCCAGAGCAAGTTCTACACTCTTCAGACATGAAATGCCAGGTAAAAGAACTCAGGCTTGACTGCCTTATAGAAAAATGTAGGAAGGACATTTTCTGGGTCTCTGAAGTCAGGTGCTCCAAAGAGAGAGAAGTAACTTACAGAACAATGTGCTGTGCCTCTCTCCTTCGATCTCCTCTGAGAAGAGGTTCTTAACATATTCCTCTGGACCGAATGCACTGAACAGATCAACTCAAGAGTCAGTCTTTGAGACTCACAATACTGTCTAGGGTCAGGACTGGAGGGTCCCACTAGAACAGAATTTCCAGCCATTCATTTCCAGAAGAGATTATTCCTGATTCTGCAACGGGCATAGTTATGCACTTCCATCATGTACTTAAACTGGATCTTGAACAAAAGTCTTATTCTTCAGCTCAAGACTATCCCCAGTAGCAGGTGAATAGAAAACATTCAAATGTCAATAGCTAAGTTTGCCCTTTCTCTTCATATTATTCTTTGTCAGTGGGATTTACCACTGTTTTTTTTTAAATACATTAAGATTCAACTATTATTATTGATCTTCATATAATGTTCAACAATTGTTAATGATCCTTATGGGATTATTTTTCTTTGCTTTATTGCATTCATAGCAGCATCTAATTTAGAGGACCTTTGGATCAGTCTATTCTCCATGCAATCAAACTGGTGGGTCTGGATCATTTTAATGTTTATTCTATTAGAAACTCATCCAAAAAGTGGGGGGAATAAGCAGGGCTTTTTTTCTCATAGAACGCCCAGAACGGAGTTCCGGCACCTTTTTTGGATGGAACCTTGTAGGGTAGGCAAGGCGGGTTGCATGATGTGTGTGAGTTCCGGCACTTTTTTTTTTTTTTTTTTTTTTTTTTACAAAAAAAGCACTGGGAATAAGTCTCCAATACTACCACCACTGTTATCATTTTAGTCCTCCAGGAGATAAAGGACAAGGGTTTTACCACAATACTTATCTAACTGGATACTTTCCCACCCATGAGCACATTCCTCCAAACTCTCCATCATGCAATTTTAATTACATGAGATTGGAATGGCTTAATAAAGCTGAAGAAAGAAAATATTCCTGGTAAAAGTGATTTATGGTGTTTGAAAAAAGGGAGTACGAATAACCTTACTTGCTGCTCTTATTAAATAATGGATTTTGAGGAAAGAAAACCCTGTAAAGAAATGTATCAGTCAATACCTTCTCTTTCTTTGCAACAAATACATACTTAAGCTCTTGAGAATTGGCAGCCATTAAGGATTTTAACGTCTTGTCAGCCAAAGGACATCCAGAAACACTAAGAAATGCAAAAGAAATGCATGAAATGCAAAAGAATTTAAAGAGGTTGCAACAAAATAATAATTAAAGATTATTGTTTTTTTCTTTTTAAAAATAAACTAAAAGCTTAACCAAAGTAAGACTCACCAAATCTAAGGCTTCAGGATTTATTTATTTTTTTGTAACATAAGTTTCAATAAGTACATGCAGGTGAAGGAGGTCTTGTGAATTATCAAATCCAAAGTATTTAGGATCTTAAGATTAAGATATATTTTAAATTGGGCCCAGAAATGTATATTGGACATAGTAAATATGTAGCTATTATTATTAACTACCAATTGCAATCTTGTATCCCTATAGTTTGTTAAATGCTCTCACATTTCTTTTTCTTTCTTACCTGCGGTGGGATGCATAGTTTCCTGTCACATGACCACTGCCATCACATCCTGGAGTTGGACACCTAAGAAAATAAAGTGAACCAGTCAGACACAAATTAATTGGGAAAGAGAGAAAACAAAGGGGAAATAACTATGTTCTGCTGGAGAACCATGTTCTACTGTTCTCCATGGTCAGTGGGCTGTGCAAAAGATTTGATGTATTGTGGTAGCCTGTCCTCCAGTAGGGTTGGCACAGTTGTTTTGGGAGGTTCCTGTGTGCCTGTGTACAAGCAACACTCATGGTACCAGCAATATGAAGTGGCTATATATTCGTTTACATGCATGAATAATTTGGGAAACCCCTTGAAGCAACTGGAAAGTTTTCGAGAACACTGTTTCTCAACCTTAGCAGCTTTGAGGTGTCTGGATTTCAACACCCAGAATTCCACAAGCAAATAGCTGGATAATTCTGGAAACTGAAGTCCAGACATCTTAAAATTGCTAAGGTTGAGAAAGACTATTCTAGAGAATGTTCCTGCCTCTGAGTTTTGAGGTGAGACATTCCACTTAAGCCACTATGTTTGGGAGGTGTTCCTTCAAATGCTTTATATAATGCTATGTGTTAGTAATGAGGAAGCTGTCTGTCTTCTCTCTATCTTGCAATGGACTTTAGTGAAAACTATTTTTATGGCTAAGCAAGCTTATATTCCCAATATTTCGGGGGGGGGGAAAGAGATTCTCTGTATCAGGAACCTGGTTTAATTCCTCATTATCAGGATCTGAACCTTACTTCAAATCCTGGTTTGAAAAAAAAATTAAACCTCTGCTCCTTACACTGGAAACAGTGACATCTAGGCATCAGACACCTGGAAGTTTAGAAGTCTTTCCCCCCCTCCCTCTTGGTTCACTTCTACCCTCTGGCTGGCTTACTTCTTATTACCCTTATTTGTCTATTCTGCTTTTCCAGTAGAACTCCTCTACCTAAACTGCAATAATCTGGCTGACCACTAGAGTGAGAGCTTTCTGTATCGTGTTGCTTTCCATGTAATGGTTGTCCATATTTTTGCAGCAGCCCAAATATCCTATGGGATGTGGCTAGCTGCAATGAATTAAATGCAGAGAATGGTGAAGCAGAAAGGAAATGCACAAGGCAAAACATATAGTTGAATCTGGGCCAAGCTTCTAAGCCCTTAAAAAAAATCTTTCTGTGGCTTCCACTGCTAGTTAAAGAAAAGTAAAGAAAAATAAAGGAAGTTTACTACTGGTATAGGGTGCTGCTATTACCTGTTGTAAAAAGCCAAAAATTCCACATATATGAAAGAAAGGCATAGGAAAAAAGAGAAAAGCAAACACAGAAGGCTTTATGTGTATGATAGAAAAAAAAATGTATGTCAGAGGGAAAGTATAGGCTTGCTGAGAAATCAGGTGACATTACCTTTTTATTTTAATTGGAGGTGCGTTCATTTTAATTCTATAAAATACCTTCTCGTGATTGTCTTCCTTTCTAGCTGCCTATAGCTGCCTTACTTAATGGTGGCTAGAGACATTATAATGATTACTAGTTAGTAAAACAGGAGCAGCTGAAGAAGAGGTCCCAAGAAGAGTGAAAGAGTAGATTGTGTGGGAAAATACTGCTTTAATTTAATAGATATGGATTATAACACTATAAGTATTTTCACTGAGATGCATCTGTATTTTTATAGGGTGAAAATGAAGATGAAAGCTGCTAAACTATAGCTTGAAGATTGTAGATAAAAATATGTTGTTTTGTCATAAAGTAACTAAATCATTTAATTATTTCATTTAGTTGTCCACTAATGAGTTGAACCTTGTAATATTTTTTTTATTTTTTTTCTAATAATTAACTGACTACAGCTTTCGGTAATATCCTTAAAGCATAATTGGATCACTCCATTGTAGCTACTTAATAGTATCGGTATTTAAAAAAGAGAAAATGTATAGTTTCTTTTAAGTAGAACTATAGCACATTAGATCACCTAGTTCATTCTTCAGAATACTATTTGCCTTGGTATAATATAATTACTAAAGAGGCCATTAATATTCCAAAATATGTGATCCATATTTATATTTGTATTGTAACTGAGTTTCAGACATAGAATTTCGCTTTATAATTGCTGTTGTCATTCTTGGTATTTCCTCAAGATGGAGCCATTTGCATTACCAATTCTACCAGCAAATATTTGGTAAACATTCCTTGCCCTGAGTGTTACTTTTAGACCTTTTACGTACTTGTATTTAAACATATTTCAGCCAAACATATTTTGGATACATATTAGCAAGCAAAACAACCATTACCGGGTGATTTAAAATCTAATGCAAGGTTTACAAGGTATGTAAATTATTATACACAGGGTAAATTATATTCTGTGTTTATTGTGTTAAACAGTTGTGTGGATCCTGGGAATTAACATACTATAAGTGGAGTTCTTGAATCACTGAATGAACAAATATTTTTTATCCAACAAATTTTATTAATATTTTCTTTATACAGGAAAACTAAGCAATATCTATCTATCTATCTATCTATCTATCTATCTATCTATCTATCTATCTATCTATCTATCTATCTATCTATCTATCTATCTATCTATCTATCTATCTATCTATCTATCTATCTATCTATCTATCTATCTATCTATCTATCCATCCATCCATCCATCCATCCATCCATCCATCCATCCATCCATCCATCCATCTATCTATCTATCTATCTATCTATCTATCTATCTATCTATCTATCTATCTATCTATCTATCTATCTATCATCTACTCACGTGATCAGTTCCTTTTTGAGATCTCTTGAATGGACCTTGGGTTTTGGACTACATTCTGAGACATCTGAGTATTTTTTTTCCTCCAGGCTTTCGGGACAGATTGCAGGATCTTTCTGAAATAATAGAAGAGACTATTACTTAGAAAAACTGCTATCTTTTAATCCATTTTCCTTAACCTGATACCACCCAGAGGTTGTGGACTACACAGTTTCAGTTACCTAATCTAACTCAGGGTAAATAGAAACTGTTGAAAAGAAACATATTTTTAATTTAGTGCTATTTTACACAATATTTTTTAAATCTAGTGGGAAAATGCATGTGTACTCATATGTACTCATTGAAACAGATCGTTCATTAGGTTGCAGGGGAAAATTGTGTAAATTGTTCACAATTATAAACACAATGTTATGCTTTTCCATTTGTTTTATTATCTGTTTTCTATTTACTTTACCAACAGAAGTTAGTCAAAATAAAGGAATATCTGATTATATAAGCTGGTTCTTGGTTTGTGGTTTATTTGGGTTTGGTTTAACAAGATTGCAGCCAGGGTCATTAAATATCTATGTTGTATGTTGCATGCCACTATGATTTGTTCCTTAACAAGTCATATGAATCTAACCATACTGTCTAGGCAGAAAAAGTAATCAAGTAATCACCACTGAAGAAGTTCAATATCAAATAATAATGTCATGGTCACCTTATATCATCTGTCATCTTAGATCCAAGATTGTATTCAGAGTTTGTTGTATCTACTCAAATACAAGAGTCAGCTATTGGAAATCCACTTATTAATATGACCTTTTCTGTATGCTTATACAATCTGTTTCAAAACCAGAAAACTAGAGGCAAACCTCATTATTTAATACAAAGGTATATTTGACAGACAGTGGTATGGTACAGACAGCTAGTAGAAAGTAAACTAAAAGTCTTCCACAAGTATAAGTTGTTTATTTGTTTTTTTTCTTTTAATCAACTTCTCCCAATTCTGTTTCTAAGTGATCTCTTAGACTGTCTGCATGTGTGAGCTTTATTTGGGAAGCTGAGCTACATAGTTCTTAGGATCCTTGCCAGCCTCCATATTCCTACCCATTCAGGAGGAGGGGGGAAATCAAATGAAATTCCATTAATGTACAGATGGACATTTATATTGATTTTTGCAAAGACCAGAACATAATGACAACACAAATAACAGATAATAGCATCTGGCACTTTTAACATTTTAAGCCCTGAAATCTTTGGAAAACTGACAGTTGAACTAAACTAAAAGCTCCAGTTATTTTTCTCAGCTTTTTGCATCCTTTTAAAAAGAGTGTCAGCTTTTTCCAATTCAGGATTTTATTATTTATTTATTTATTTATTTATTTATTTTTGAGGACGGCTTCTGGACAGATACACTATTTCTTTGTTAGGAAAAAAAACTTCTAGATATGAACTTCAATTTGACAATCAATTCTATGTGTGTATGTATGCATGTATAATAATGATTACTTGCTGCATCTAATATAGTATCTTTATAGTATGCTGTTTTTGACCTAAGATTTTTTCATTTATAGCCCATATTATTTGGATCTTATATATTTTGGACATGGATCAGACACAAAATTATTCAGATGAAAGGATAAATATTTGGTCCCCTCCCTCCTGTACTCCCAAGGCCCATTTGGAGAATTCTTTTGGTTCATGCATGGCCCATGTATGCTACCATACTTTTATCTTTACATTATAAATGTCAGTATAAACATCTCTATTTGATGAAAGCAAATATATATGTCCCAGGATAACGTGGCAGGATCCAATCTGGATCGGTCACTGGAACCAGACGTCTAGCCTTCTGAGCTTTTGGATTCGTGCTGGAGGCCATCTTCCAGACTGGGGAGAAAGAAATTCCCTGAGGATGGGCTCCAGCATGAATCCAAAAGCTGAGAAGGCTAAATCTCTGGTCCCAGTGACTGACCCAGATTGGATCCTGCATCTTTATTTGAGTATTTTTGGAAACATTTAGTTTCAGTTTACATTCATTTTCAGCTGTTCCAGCTGCAGAAAGTATTACTTACTCTAAACTCCTCCTTGAGGATAGTAATAAATATTATCAGAAAGACTCATAGGATCATAGATTTAATGTGGCCTTAAGCAATTTACCTCAACTTCTGCTTAGTGCTTGACAGTACTTACCATTGGGAAATTCCTCCTAATATTCGCCCTTAGTTTTATATTCCTTTGTCTTTGTCCAGCTTCCAGTTTGAGTTAAGAACTGATATGTCCCATCTTATAACATATAACATCATATAACTGTTTTTCAGGTATTTGTATACCATTGGCATATTTATTTTAATCTTCTCTTTTGGAAATGAAATATGTACCATTCCTGATAAGGAATGGTTTCCAGATCCCTTACCATTCTGATATCTCTTCTCTGAACTTGTTTCAGCTTCTCGATATCTCTTTTAAACTGCATGAGATAGTACCTCCGATGATTTGGATGCAATACTTCTATTAATACACTTATCTTTTTAACTGATATCTTATAATGTTTCTTCATGTTTAGCTAATGGTCCACTAGTTTCTTTACATCCTTTGGACAAACACTCCTGGCAAACCAGCTCATTAAAATTCTATAGTTAAATGTTTGATTTTCTTCTTAATCAGAAGCTCTGCTAGTTGGCCTAGTGCTCAAGTCTGTCAAGATAATTTAGATTGTGGTTGCCATCTTAGGAATTAGCCAGCCTCCAAGCCTGGTGTCAAATTTGATAAGCATCTTTTCTATCCCAGCTATCTCTGCCCAAGAATCCCTTATGCTGATGATGTAGGCTATGAATTAGGAATCTGGATGCTATCTTTGTTTTAGCCAATTGTTCAATTCCAGGATTTTGTTTTCCATTTTGCCCCTTGACCAGCAATGTATAGATTTATTCTTTGCAACTCCTTTGCTTTCCTATGCTTGGATTTAAGCTATTGATCTGAGGTATTGATTTCTTTTGGTTGTGTTGTTGTCTCCATATGGGGAAGCAGAAATAAATAGAAATCAGTTGCAAAATATTTTATATTTTGTGTGATATATATATATATAT